GTTTGTTTGTTTACAGCAAATTCTGTATGTTTCCTTTTTTTTTTTTTTTTTGGTTCAAATTTGGCTTGCTTTATAGATCTCATTGAGATTTAACAGCCAGGTTTGAAGAAAGTAAGTTACAGTCTTAATGTTATGACCATTTACCATTGCTCATAATACCCAATAAGATGTTTTATTCCCTCAAAGGAATTACCATGCAGTCAACTCACTGAGTGGATTTTTCAGACAAGAGCTTAAGCTGAAGTCTTGCCTGCTCTGCCTGACTGTGACATTTAAACCATACACACAATCAGTGGCCACTCCCCCCCCCCACCAAACCCTCCTCCCCTGATACAAGCCAATAGGTGGGACTTTTCCCACAAAGCCTCCAATCGCTGTAAATATTTGCCCTATCAGGCACCCTCTTTTCAGAAGCTCAGGCAAAAAGAGGGGCCGTGCTGTGGTCCCTGAAGTTCAGCAATCCCTGAATATTTCAAACCAAGTGCACAATTTTGTTCTCCAGCCTTCAGCATCTGCCCAAACCACATCACCTCAGACAGGGCGGATTGCTTCATTTCTAACACACATCATTTGCTTCCAGGTGTTTTGATCAAATTAACCAGTGATCAGCCTGAGAGGAGGAAGCTTGTGTGACACGGCACCCCATATTCATCATAGTGGCAGGATTATGATATAATTATGATGCATCTTGTACACGATGTGTCATGTGCGGTGTCATTGGAAAAGTTATGACTTGCTGAATAGGATTATCCTATTTGCGTGCATGTATCATGTTTGTATCTGAAGTTATGCATATTGACTATGGATGTGTATTTCAAGTGTAGTTACACGTGGGTAACACCCACAACTAGCTTGTCAGGTACAACAATGGAGAAGCCAGACAGTGCCAATGGCTCATCGACAACGACAATGAACCACGGAGGAGCTTGGCCTTCCTGGGAACGTTTCAGCCCGTCTGTGAGTAATGGCTGCTAGGACTCAGCAAGGGCATGTGACCAGACCACATGACACGGAACTCCATTTTGGTAGCTGTATTTTTCTACCAACTGGGCTTGGAACAAAGGGTCCCGCCCTATGGAAAAACTATAGAAGGTGGGGAGTGACATCATCTCGGGGCCTCACTCCCCACACAAGAGAATTCCTGGAAACGCCTGAGGAACAAAGACCGAACTGGGGGGGGAAGGGCTGGTCACAGGCTAAAGGGATTTCTAGCTTGTGTTTGGAAACTTGATGGACTGCTTGTATCATCAGGCAGGGTGAGAAATTGCTAATTTAAATCCTCTCTAGTATGTTAGGTTTAGTTTGAGTTTTTGTTTATTTGCTAGGTAATCTGCTTTGATCGGTTTGCTATCACTTAAAACAAGTTTATTAACTACAGAAAGATAGATTTTATGTTTTATCTTAACCAATGTATTTTGAGTGAAGTGTCTGGGAAAATCTCCGCTCTGTAAACAAAGGCCGTTGCATACCTTTCCAACATCGAGAAGAAAGCGAACTACATTAACGAGCTTGCATAGTACAGATCCCTGTGCAGTGCAAGATGGTATAATTCTGGGTTTATACTCCAGCAAGTGTGCAAGGCTGGGGAGCTGGGAAATTGGCTTCTGTCTGTCCTTGAGTGGCTCAGGTAAAGCACTCAGGTAGCTCAGTTGGGTGTGTGGTGCCACCTGCTGTCATGTTGGAGGATAACAGGGCGGGGGGGGGCGGCGGCGGCTGGCTGAATCACCAGCAGAGCAGTGAGAGAGACCAGTTCAGCTGTATGTTTGGGGGCAAAGCAGTTCCCACAGCTCCCAGACTGCA